CATATGGTGTACGTATTACGATCGTCTTGCTGCCTGTCCCGGCTTACATCCCATAATTTCAACTTATGAATATTAATAACCTACGCTAATTAGGAAATCAAATAGTTGTCGTCTACAGTTGATGTGTAGCAAGTGTGGGAAATATCATGTTCTATTGAATTATAGCCGTTTCAATTAAAGTACCCACGCACTCTGAAAACTGGGTCGAGCCACCTTAAAGCTTTAACGATGATTTTCAAGTCTACCAGTGCTACTATCAAGTCTCTTATCAAGTCTCACTTCCACGTTTGTTCTATAACGTACTCTTACCATTTTGTCAAAAGGGATTGAGGAAAGTCATTTTAAAAAGGTCTGTCTGTTGTGCCTGCTTTTCTTTGGCTTTCTCTGACCGTGCACTGCTTCACAAGCTTGTTGAGAAGAAAAGCCCTGCAGAAAGAACGAGAAAACATGAAAAAAATATGCGCGTGATAGAAAACCGAACATAAATCATGACAGAATATGATAAAATATAACATATCAAAGCTTTCTCTGACCGCTGCTTCACAAGTTTTTTGAGAAGAAAGGTCTTGCTGAAAGAACGAGTTAAAACATGAAAAAATACGAACATGATAGAACACTGACCATAAACATGACAGAATATGATAAAATATAACATATCAAAGCTTTCTCTGACCGCTGCTTCACAAGTTTTTTGAGAAGAAAGGTCTTGCTGAAAGAACGAGTTAAAACATGAAAAAATACGAACATGATAGAACACTGACCATAAACATGACAGAATATGATAGAACAGAATAAATCACGATCCTTTCCGTCAATGAATTCATTCATTATTTCTGATTTAATATTATATAGTGTTTACTTTGAAAACGAAACGAATCAGCGTCATGTCTGTCTCACGGGACCTAAAGAAACGAGAAAAGACAAGAACGGACGTACCCGCCAGTAGAATATGAGGTCTCTTCCTACCCCAAAAGCACAAACTCATTTGAAAAATATTAATGGTGCTAAACAAGAAGATATACTCAAGTCAGGGCCGACGGTCGTTAAAACTAATATCAAAATATATCTAAGATCATATCGCCTCCATCCGTTTTGTCTATTTTTCTCGAAACAAGAGTGTTATATTTAGCTGTCTCTTAAAAGAATATAACAGCATTTGGTATAGACCAACAAGGGAACCTACATAGAAGGCGCCGTTTTCTTATTGGTTCTCTATAGGTGGATATTGGACGGTATTTACTCCGCCGATTTCGGCGAATAATCATTAAATATAGCACTGAAGTCAACAGGTCACTCATTCTCAAGACACAATGATCTACAAAGCCGTTTTCGTGTGTTTGGTGCTTGTTCTTTTAGGGGATGTCTTTTGCTCTCCACGAAACTCTGGTGGCGAACGTCTAAAGGAGAATAATGTAAATGACTTTTGATTCTGTTACATATGCACTAGTCAATTGAAACCCCCGACCCCCGCGAGGAATTAACGCGGAGACTGGAGATTTAACGCGTATTTCAATAGATTGAATCTTATAAAGAAAACATGCAGTAAAAATATAAAATAAAAATAAAGTTGATACTGACAATCATAAAATAACTGTTATGAATGTCGCGTTCTGATTGCTTTGGAGCGCGTGCTTTATGAGAGCACATTGCACGCGCGCGCACTTACCGCTGCGTCATTCCTATCTAAAATAACGGTTATTGTAATTTGCTGCTGTGCTGTGTGCCGTCATAAAGCACTTGGGGATTGGCAGAACACTCGAGAAGTGTCCAGAAGCAATCCGCTTTGCGTGTTCTGCCAATCCCTGCGTGCTTTATGACTGCACACAGCACGCGCGCGCGTTTTCTATTTCTTCATCATATCTAAATGGATTTTGAGTCGCATGGCTGCACACACTGTATAGTGCTTATCACTCAACCAGAACATTCATTACACAAAGACACAGATAGTCTTTTTTGAATTTGTCTTTGCAAAGAGAGTATTTGTAGCAACTATTAGTCTCTAGATAGCTACTATTTGTCAGTATCCGAACTTTGTTCTTATTTCATAACTTTTGTGTATGTGATTTACACCATGTTATTGTTAAATTCCCCGCCCTGTCCCTTGACTCGTAAAAGACTAGTGCATCTTTTTCATGAAAACAATTCAAAACATATTCTAGAAATCTATACGCTCTCCAAGGGAGCACGTTAAAATTTTGATTGTGTTGATTTATCTTCGATTTCTATAGCGTACGCAATAATCTAAGATATAACAGGCTTTCCTTGTAGTGCTTGGTTACGTGCGCGCGCTACACTTCATGGCAGGCGTTCCTTGCTTTAGTCGGGCTAGCGAATTTACTCCGAAAACCGACGAATATCTTGCGAGGAGCGCAGCGTCATTCCCTTCCTTACACGATCGTCACGATCGTAGGCCATTCGGATCGGCCGAAACCAAAACACTACGAGGAACGCCTGTCACATGATGGATTGCGCGCGATAGATAGATCAACCAAGAACAATACCTTTCCTTACACAAACAAAATTTTAATGTGCTCCCTTGGATTGGCTTGGAGCGCGTGCTTTATGAGAGCACATTGCACGCGCGCGCACTTTCCGTTGCGTCATTCCTATCTAAAATAACGGTTATTGTAATTTGTATTTCATAAAAGAAATAAAAAACTTGCTTGCTGTGCTGTGTCGTTATAAAGCACTTGGGGATTGGCAGAACATTCGAGAAATGTCCAGAAGCACTCCGCTACGCGTCGTGCTTCTCCTAACACTTCTCTCGTGTTCACGTGTTCTCTCGTCACGTACGACGTGTTCACGTGATGATTGTACGACGTATTCTTATCGCATGAAGGGAGGGGTGCTGCGCGCAAAGTTAACCCAGGGAGGGGTGCACCCCTTAGAATCAAAGGGAAAAACATTTTATTGTATTGGTTATCTTCGATGTTGGGGCACAAAGGAAGGTAAACCAGGGAGGGGTGCGTACTCTCTGCACCCCTCCCCCTGGATCCGCCCCTGTCTTTTATAACATTTAGTATCTAGCGTTAAAGATTATACCTTTCTTTTTAAATCCAACGAGTGTTGCATGCTGGGGTTTGCCACAAAGGATGTAATGACGTCCTGTCATAAGGCTAAAGGAGCTTGTACCTTGATTTCGGTTTTACCACTGCCTTGTCTCCAGACTGTGTAAGGGAATCCATCGTATTTTGTACCATCTATCTCTTGCCAACAAGATACGGTTGTGGCTGCACCAATATCACCCTGTGCAGTTTAATACAATCAAGATAAAGCTATTTCAAAAAAAGGTTAATTGGTGAAGGTATTGTTGCATACCCAGCTCGAAATGCATTATGAACGATATGGATACCAAACTTTGTCGATTTAACAGCATATTTTAAGCCTATACAGCCTAAAAGGCACGCCCGGAACAGCCCTAACCCACTGGGTTGCTACACAGGCTAGCATATATTCTTCCGTCTTGTCATTGTATGAATATGAATATAATACATTAATTAATACTGGTCAAAAATATCGGCCTTTTAAGGAATGCAAGGTGGGGAGGGGGAGGGGG